GTAAGCAATTCGACAAGAAGGACTCCAAAGCTATAAACATCACTACTTTCCGTGAGGCGTCTAGTATAATAATACATAGGATCTAAGTACCCTATAGTTCCTTGCACCGCAGTTGTTGTTCCTGTTTGATCCATGGGAATAATGTACCTTGAAGCTCCAAAGTCTGACACTTTTGCTGTCAAGGCATCGTCAAGAAGTATGTTGGAGGGTTTGATATCTCTATGTATTACAGTGACTGACATAGCTGAGTGAAGGTAAGCAAGAGCTTTCCCTGTTTCACTTGTGATCCTTAACCTATCTTTCCAAGGTAGCGATCCTCGTTCTTCCGTGTGAAGATGATCAGCGAGTGTTCCGTTGGAAATGAACTCGTAAGCCAGTAAAGGGACTTCTGTCTCGAGGCAACATCCACGAAGCTTCACAATATTTCTATGGTTGATCTGTGAGAGTATGGCAACCTCATTTATGAACTCGTTGATTTCTCTTTTGACAACAATATTTGACTTCTTGATGGCCACAACATGCAAGTCTAACATGATCCCTTTGTAGACAGTGCCATGCCCACCTCCACCGAGCTTGCGGGCTTGATCAAAATTGTTGGTAGCCTTCTCTATCTCCTCTAAAGAGATGAGCATCCTCTCTGCGATGTCGGCTCTATGAGATACCAATTGCCTTAATAGCTGGCCACGGTTTTGACTAAAGAACTTCTGTCGCAACACCTTTGTCTTGTGTTGTTTAAATCCACGGGTTATTAGAAGTGCACCAAGAACCAAAAGTAGAATAAATGGGCCACTAGCGACTGAGAGACCAATGACTAAACCCATGTTCTTGTTACCTGAAAAGCAATTCACACGTTTACTGCTGGTACTATTTGCTCAACCATATATACTAGATGGAAGACTGAAATGCACCATTAGTCCACTAACTCAAACCGATTGCACATTTTAGGCCAACAACTCAGAATTGATAGATTTCGGCCATTAACTCGTTAATTTGATCAAATAAGGCCAAAACTGATCCGAGAAGGGAAAAACCGGGCACGGAGCTGCCATGTCAGCCTCCCTTCATGAATTAAGAATTTTTTACTTTTCAGGGGGGCTATGTGCAAAGTGGCCAATTTTTCTCATAAACCTTGCTAACAACATGTATATTGAGAAGAAGCACATATATATATTATAATGAACCAGCGTTGCCGAGAATCGGACAGAAGCCCATTGGGGCTGCTGAGCAACTCGCTAACCAGCGCAACATCAATCAACATATGTACTAAGATGCAATCCGTTCTTTATTAGAATGATGATACCTTGATATTAATGGAATACAAATCCTTTCCAAAATCCATGTGATCACGTGGATCCTTTCTTAAAGATCCATTCCTAAATCCACTTTCCTTCTGTTGGCTATCAGGCCGCTCCTCAAATTAACATGTGGGTTTAGGAAAGGATCGCGTGAATGTAGGAAAGCATTTGTATATTCTGTTAATATATGGAGTGGGCTTCGACTTAGTTCACAAACATGAGGATGTTGTGCTGGTCAGTTAAGGGCACGTTTGGATCCTGGGGCCTCGCCGGGCCAGTCTAAGCATTTGGTTCAACCGAAATAATTTGGCTTTAGAGGGCAAGCTAGCCTTGATGGGTAAAGAAATCATCGTTCGCCGAGGCGAGCCAATTTGGCTCGCTCTTGACGGCAAGATCTTCAGCCGAGCTAGCTGGGCTAAGGCAAGGTGAGCAGTACAACCAAATGTGACATTAGTTACTTGGCAATGCTAAAGCACTTGTGTTCGATTCTCGGCAACACTAATTTTTTTATATATATAGTTTTTCTCCACAGATGTTGTTAGCATGGTTTGTGAGAAAAAAACCAGTCACCTTGCACACAGATCTCCTAAAAAAATTATTAGTTCACTAGCGGAATAAGGGAGGCTGACATGGCGGGCACCTGGCCAGTTTTTTCCTCTCAGGTCGGTTTTGTCCTTATTTGATCAAATAGACAATTTTATGGCCTAAATCGATGAATTTCCGAATTGTTGGACTAGTGATGCATTTCACTCCTAGATGGAACGAGATAATTAACTAATTAACATTAACTGTTCCATTGTTTCCTGTTGCACGCAATAGTAATCGACACGCTAGTGTACCTCGGATTGTGTCCACAGAGTCGATGATGCAGCCACCGGGCTTGGTGTAATTTCCATGCATTCCATTCGGGCAGCGGCACCGGAACGAGCCTGACAGTTCCTCGCAGACGCCGAAGCAGAAATGTTTTTCTTTCTGATTGCACTCTTTGATATCTGCATATATATTGTCTGATCAAATCAAGCAAAAATAGAATCAAGTTTACGTAAGTCGCATGTCAAGTTGTAAACTCACCTTGGCATCCTCCTGTGAGGTAAGGGTTGCCCTCGTAGCCCTCCTTGCAGTGGCACGAATAGCCTCTGATTTCTTCAATTGTGTTTCCGACGCTGCAATTGCTGTTGGTACTCTTGCAGATGCCCCGGGCTGCGTCGCGAGGGCAGCGCGAATGGCCAGTGTTATACACTGCTGCGTCGTGTGCCAACGCCCACGCGAGAATCACGGGAACCCTGAGCTGATCAGCCTCCCGCGAGAGATTTTTGTTTGCCCGCCAATCCACGTTCATGACCACTTCCAGGTTGTGGTCTACGTCGAACCAGCCAACCTCGGCGATAAGCACGTTCACGGGGGAACCAAAATTACTGTACACGCCGCTGTAGTTGAGCTGCTTGAGCTCCACGCCGTAAGACGCGCTGGCAGTTTGGATGGTGGACTGGCAGCAGCCGATGTTGGAGCATGCTTTGGAATTTCCCCTTTTATAAGTTTGGGTGTAGCTAATGCCATCACCAAATTCGGGGCAGAAAGAGGCGCAGCCGCTGGCGAGGCTCCGGTTCGCCAGCAACGTCGCTTGCACATTGCAGCCCGTCAGTATGAACTCATTGGACCCCGGGTTCAGCAGGTAGGCCACCCCACCGGCGCCGATGGTCTCAGCGTCAGCTATGATCCACTGGCCGGAGCCGTCGCTCATGTTGATGGCTCGCAGTCCACGATTGACGATGCGCATCGTGCTGTTCTTCAGGGAGATATCGACGACCTCGAACACGCCACCACTGCCCTCGCCGAGGAGCAGCCGCGGGGGCTTGCTTCCGTTGTTGTTGCAGGTGAGCTTGAACCCCGGCCAGTAGCAGCTCTTTGGGCCCATCCCGAACGGGTAAGGCACGCTTACGTTGCCACAGGTGGTGTTGCAGCCGGGCATCCCTATCTTCATCCGCGGAGGACCTGCTGCGGCCGCCGTTGCCGAGATTAGCAGCAGCAACACCGCTGCCGCAATGGATACGCAGCTGCTTAGCATTATCTATGGCAGGACAGGATGGATTGACTTGTCGCTACAGTTACCTAATTCCAGTGGTGTACTTATGCAGTTATGCGCTACGATGCAGGAGTAATCCAGGTGTGCATATCTATACCACTCGCTAACGCTAAGGTGTGTGAGGCCTTCTTTGAAAATGGGTTGAGTGAACTGCAAATCTGTGCAAATATCTATTTTTCTGAGACATTCATGTGGACAGAAAATAACAAAACTCATTCGCAAATTTTGTCATTTCCTAGGCAACTTCGCAAATGCACAAGTCATTCGGATATTCCAATGACGAAAGACAGAATAAAAAATAAATAGAGCGCACGTGGTTGGGTGATTTTTCGTATGGATTTGGCCAAATGCCTGATGAAAGAAACATTAGCCAGCAACCGTGTGTTTGAGTGGTCCAGATGGCTTTTCTAGCCATCAACATATTGTTAGATCCAGAGCCACATTTCCATCTTATTTGATTGACTGGAAATGAGACGGAGTCTAGATATTTTAGGAATATATTTTGTGTTTTAAAACAAACAACTCCACTTAATTAGAGGCAGACCTATGAAAATTATTTGATTGGTTGTAAATGTTAGTGAGTCGAGATATTTTAGTGTATGTTTTATACTTGTAAAGAAGATAGTATGCAAACTTCACCAAACTACTTCCACATCGAGGATGGTCGTTCTCACAAAGACTAGCCTCCAAAAGGACTAGTATACAGGTCTATGGCTTTTTGTGCCCCTTGAAAACAAAAATGTGTTCTCGCAAAAATAAAAGGAAAACAAACATGTCACTGTCTTATATGTGAAGACTTGGACTTGGCCGGTCTCCCCGGGACCCACACAGAGTTTCGATGACTGAGAGTGAGAACCGTTGGTCAAATAAACGTGTTCTTCTACCCTTAAAGGCCGGGACGGTGATTCCAACCACTCTTTATCCTGCTAGGTCAGGAACATCAATGCTTTTTTTTGGGGGGTTGAAGGGTGGATTTTATTCACTCAAAATGAAGCATCAAGATGATACAAACGCAATGAGCACGCACTCTATCGCTGCATAACTTAGATACACACGGTCAACAATAACGCACACTCATAAAAAACACAGACTACTGTCATAGGCAAGTTACAATGATATGTCATAGGCAAGTTACAATGATATGTACGGCCCTTATGCTTTTTTATTATTGCCCGTACCTAGAGATATCTGTCTTTGAGCTCTCCGGTAATAACTGGGACCTGGCTTTCCGATGTTCTCTATCTCCTGAAGAGCTAGATGCTTGGCAGAGACTTGTTGCCTACATCCCCGTGCTCTCGGAGAATGAGGACTCAGTTGTGTGGCCCCATCTTCTTCTGGCCGTTTCTCTATTAAATCTTTGTGTGATAGGTTAATTTCTGGCACCCCTACTTCTAAGGTTACATATATATAGTGTTCTCGAATTACTCTCAAGATTAAGATTTTCTTGTGGCAAGATTTTAAGGGGCGCCTGCCTACGGTGGACCAGATTCGTAAATGTAATGGCCCAGGCTCAGACAGATGTGCTTTATGCGGAGAATCATATATTTTTTCCACTGTGCACTAGTGGAAAGAGTGCTAGCACTAGTAGAAAAAGGCCCATTAGTCCCGGTTCTAGAGGGCCTTTAGTCCCGGTTCATTGGATCTATGACAAGCCCAACGCCTTCATTGGATCTATACAAAGATGGCTTCCTCCTAGTAAGCAATTCAATAAGAAGAACTCCAAAGCTATAAACATCACTACTTTCTGTGAGGCGTCTGCTATAATAATATGTAGGATCCAAGTAACCTATAGTTCCTTGCACTGCAGTTGTTGTTCCTGTTTGATTCATGGCAATGTACCTTGAAGCTCCAAAGTCTGACACTCTTGCTGTCAAGGCATCATCAAGAAGTATGTTGGAAGGCTTGATATCTCTATGTATTACGGGCACTGAAACAACAGAGTGAAGGTATGCAAGAGCTTTGCATGTTTCGGTTGTGATCCTTAACCTATCTTTCCAAGTTAACGATCTTGGTTCTTCCGTGTGAAGATGATCACTAAGTGTTCCATTGGAAATGAACTCGTATGCCAATAAAGGGACTTCTATCTCGAGGCAACACCCACGAAGCTTTACAATATTCCTATGGTTGATCTGTGAGAGTATCGCAACTTCATTGATGAACTCGACAGTTTCTCTTTTGACAACAATATTTGACTTCTTTATAGCCACAACATGCAAGTCTGACAAGATCCCTTTGTAGACAGTGCCATGCCCTCCACCACCAAGCCTTCGAGCTTGATCAAAATTGTTGGTAGCCTTCTGTAGCTCTTCTAACGAAATGAGCATCCTCTCTGCGATGTCTGCCCTATGAGATACCAACTGCTTCAGCAGTTGTCCACGGATTTGAGTTAAGAACTTCCGTCTCAACATCCTCAGCTTTTGTTCCTTAAAATCACTTGACAATACGAGTATGCAAAGAACCAAAAGTAGAATGAATGGGCCACTTGCAGCCGACAAACCAATGATTAAGGCCAAGTTACCTGAAAGTTAAACAATACACGCACATATGTTTACTATAACTATTTGCTTAAGCAGGCCCAATAAAATAATAGTTCCATTGTTTGCACGTACTAGTAGTAGTAATCGACTGGCTGGTGCGTGTCATACCTGTGTTTGTGTCTGCGACACAGCCCCCGGGTATGGAGTAGTTGCCATTGGTTCCTTCTGGGCACCGGCAGCTAACATATCCGGGCAGTCGCTCACAATGGCCGAAGCAGCCATGTTTTTCTTTCTGATCACACACATGGATATCTGCACACAATTTAATTTAGCATGTCTTGTTTAAGACTAAGTAAATAAAAGATACCATAATTAAGTTAACAAAACATCAACATGTGCAATAGCTGCACATGTGAAGTTGTGAACTCACCTTGGCATCCATAGGTGAGGTAAGGGTTGCCGGTGTAGCCGGGAGTTGCACTGGCAAGAATAGTCCCCGACTGTATATTTGACCACTCTTGTGTGCAATAGCTATGGGTGCTCTTGCAGATGCTCCGGGCTGCCTCGTCGGGGCACGGCCCCACCGGGATCGCGGCACCATGCGGCACCGCCCACCGGAAAATCACGGTGGGCCACGAGGGAACATTTATGACATTCTCCGGGTAGAACCAACCCTCCTCAGCGATGAGCACATTCATTGGAACATCGTCGGGAAACGGGTCGGGCACAGGGCCGTACCGCAGGCAATCGCCGAGCCGATTGACCTCGACATCATAGGACGTGCTGCTGGACAAGATGGACGACTGGCAGCAGCCCAAGTTGGAGCAGCTGTTGGAGTTGTAGTCTGCGGCGAAATACTGGGCGGGGAGCGGACTACCATTGTCGTCAGTAAATATGGGGCAGAAGGAGGCGCACCGATTGACGATATTTCCGTTACACCGCAGTGTCGCCTGCACGTTGCACCCGGTGAGGATCATCTCGTTGCCCCCCTGCTGCAGGAAGTACGGCGCCCCGCCGATGGCCTCGGTGTAACCGAGGCTCAACCGGCCAGAGCCGCCGCTGCTCATGTTGATGTTGATGGCTTGTAGTTTGTGGCTGACTACGCGCATCGTGAGCTTCTCTAGGGAAATCTCGACCACCTCGAATGCACCAGCGCCACCATCACCAAAGAGCAGCCGCGGGGGTTTGCTTCCGCGGTCGTCGCAGGTGAGCTTCAAACCCGGCCAGTAGCACCTCTTCGGTCCCATGCCGAACGGGTACAACACGCTCACGTTGCCGCAGCTGGTCTGGCAGCCGGGCAGCCCGATTCGTGGTTCCCCGGCGACCGCCGGGAACGAGATTAGTAGTTGCAGCACCGCTGTGATGAATACGCACCGGCTCGTTAGCATCACGGCGGAACGGAGATAGATGGACCTGTCGCTAAAGTTAGCTAATTTCAGTGGGTGCAATTCTGCTACATATAGGAGTAGACGAGTGGTACACGTCTATACTCTACCACTCACTAACGTCAACACGCGGGAGGCCGTTGCCGTCATTGAAAATTTGTTAGGTGAACTGAAAATCTTTTAAAAATGGAAAATATGTTATGTAAAGTTTCAAGTTTGGTGCGAATACTTGTGTTTATAAAACATCTGTAAAACTATAACAAAACTTATTCATAAATTAAGTCATGTCTTATGGATATCTGCAAATGCACATGAGACATTCTGGTAGCTACATGCGAGATTGGTTTTTGAACTTTTTGACGCTTCAAAACCCAAATTCGAGATTTAATTTTATAAATTTACGTGAGCACATGAGGCGGGCTGTTGTTTGTTTGGATTTGGTCCGTTCTCCAATTTTACCCACTAGTCTCCCACGTGGCTGACCCGTCCCGCTTGGTCCTCATACCATTACTCGCCCAGCGGCCTGGGTTGTGACCGGATGGATTGACTTGTCGCTAGAGTTAGCTAATTCACTGGGTGTACTCCTGCTACATAGCTGTAGACGAGTAGTACACGTCTATACTCTATACCACTGATTAACGTCAACACGAGTGAGGCCGTCACCTTCATTGAAAACTAGATCGGCAGCGCGCCTTGGCGCGAGGGTGCCGATCCTAACAATGTGGTCAAGCAAATATAATCATGGTTTAGCGTACGTATTCAAATAGGACAACAAAATAAAAGAAAGAAGAAACATTCACTTCTAATAAAAGACATCGAGTCATGTGACCACGAAAGGTAACCACTTCCATTAAGTTCAGTACTAAGAGCGCGAAAATGAGAGAGCAATGTCCTAATCTGAAACAAAGTTTGCAGCACATCCATATATAATTAAGTAAGGCAGCTACATAGGATAAAGTTATACCAAAAACAACTTCACTGCAAAGGTAACATCTAAAAAAGGAGGTTAGTAAACACTCACTAATGATTCAATACTAAACATCAAGGTTCATCACACGATATTGGCAAATTTCATACCAAAGCATACTTGTTGTAACAAATATACTCAAAACAACTTCTCGGAGTATTAGTGCATTTCATAAAACAATGCTATGAAGGGGGACATCCACGATACAACATACATGTTGGTCCTCAACTTTCATTTTTATCTATCTAAGTATATTGGAATTCCAAAGAGCGGTCTTTAGGGCGTCGTGCCCTGTCCAGCACCATGGTCCAGTGCTCAGATCCAAACCATAGAGCAGGTTACGGTGATCATGGTCCAGGTGGTGTCGAGTAGAAAAAACCACAATATATTACACGTGAAAGAACATGCCATTCTTGTACATAAGTGAACCCCTAACGAAGCAATGCCCTAGATCATCTTCACACACCTATGAGACTCCAGGTTGTAGCCTTAAAGATAAGTGTAGACAAACCATGTCAATAGTAATACATGGGATGCAAGAGTAGAGAACATTTACTGTACACAAAGCCACACCATTATGTCATAGAAGTAGGGAGACAGAGCACTAAAACAAAGAAGAGTACAGTTTCCTTTCACCAACGGATGAACTTTGCAATTGACACTCAAAAGGGGATGAAAGCAATGGGAAATTTTCTTCTAAGACTGCCAAAAATCATTATGAATCATGGGCATGTGTCCTTCACACACACATGATGCATTTTTTATTATTACCATGCACTACTGCCTACTCTATATATCATTAAGAACAGGTCACTAATTCCTTTGTATGGTTGACACTAAGATAAAGTCACATGTTCAAATTCCATTAACCTAATAAGGCAGTAATTCAAACAGTCTGTCGAAGCCTTTCCAAAGAAGGCCCCTAAAAGATAATCAACCAAACTATATGTACTGAACATAAGAACTTATTCCAGAGATATGTTAACAACACATTATGAAATATTATACCTCCACAAAGCAAATCAGGGACGACAAATCCACGAATGTCCATCCCCACTTCCTACAATTACGCAAAATAAAATCTAAGGTGAGAACATCACTGAATTCTAATAGAAATCTGAATTTTGCTCTGAACCATAGCATGCACTTGACAAAGTGAAATATAAAGAAATGGAGTTATTATATGAATCATAGCATGCACTTGAAAAATAAAAAAAATGTGAACTGGAGCTAAACCTATATAATCATACAGTGGTATTTTCCTGAAAATTTAATCATAAAAAGAAAGAAAAGAAAAATCAGTGGATAAAAAGGCAATCAGCATGCCGAATCACATCATTATATGAACAGGCACAAAGGTCAAACAGGAAGTCCAAGGAAGCCCGAGATGATGGTACCATATACATATTGTATATGAATATACCTTCATCGCCGGTGTATATTGGATCGCCGCTCCGTGCCCCTTTCATGATGTTATTATATATCGGATGCTTAGTTGTTACTGCAGCTCTAGCATGAGCGAAAGCTCGTTAGTATTCTTATACTCATACGACATTATATCTTTAACTGAACTAAGCATCCTAACAGTGTGCGAACAACTAACCAGGGAGTCAATCAAAGTTATAAAACTAAAACTACACATGTAACCCAGAATCCAACTATCCATGTGAAATCGGAGAGAAGTAACCAACTGTTTTTTGTTGTCTTATATTTCTCATGACAGAGCCTGGGTGATTTTGTAATCAGTACAGTAACTGTAACCCATGTGCATATCAATGAGCATGATATGTGTCATGCACTATTTTGACAAACATGACAGAAAAAATCCTTTACATCTACTGTTAACTTGATTCAGTTTCAAATGTAATGCTGGTTCATACATCCAGAGAAGCCTTGCTTATTAGCCAATTTAAGCCTTGCTTATTAGCCAATTTGAGAATCAGCCTCCTATAAGGCTATAAGTACCAATGAGGTAGCACTAGTAGAAAACCGGCCTTTTGTCCCGGTTCGTAAGGGCCTTTAGTCCCGGTTCCCGTACCGGGACTAAAGGGTCGTTACTAATACCCTCACCCTTTAGTCCCGGTTCAAACCAGAACCGGGACAGATGGGCCTCCACGTGGCCTGTGCGCCGAGCCCAGGCAGGAGGGCCTTTGGTCCCGGTTGGTGGC